AGAGAGAGAGAGAGAGAGAGAGAGAGAGAGAGAGAGAGAGAGAGAACCTGCTGGGGTTTTATTCCAGAGCTCTTTTTTAATTTTCTGAAAGAAATTTTGAACAGGAGGAATGAGGGAAGACAATAGCATTCAGGATGATGCCTAATTTTCTGATTGGAAAAGTTGTACAAGATGATAGATTTGTCTGGATACGTCAGTTGTTTCTGTAGATTGTAACTGAAGTCATGGAAGTGGATGATTGTTCAGGGTTACTATGTTGAAAGATGGGGCCATATCAGTGTCCCAAGGAGGAAGAGCAGTGTGTTAAAGAATACAACATCACAACGTTTGAGGACAGCAAAGTGCATGGCAGAGGTCTGATGGAGAGAGTAGAGAGAATCAGGAGGGTACAGGCCTGGAAAGCCTGGGGAAAACAGGTCAAAAGGAGTGTGGTTAGCGGGGCCTCATTTTCCCGAAGTGAGATAAATGTGCTCTGCTTACCAAGGAGGCTGCTGGACACTCCTAAGGGCCAGATTCAGCATCGTGGTGGAGGCAAAGACCATACAGCTGGGGACTGTGTTTTTGTTGTTGGCATCTAGGGGACATCCAGTGAATATGTGATAAATGGATAAGAGAATGAATTAATAATTGAAAGAGTGAAAGAAAAAAAAAAACCCTACTCCCTAGAGTGACCTTTTCATTTTCCTTCACCCATCCTAGCTTCCTGGTGGGCCAAGATGGTGGAGTATATGAAGGCCTTGGCTGGTCTACCCAAGGGTCTCACACCTACGGCTACAACGATATTGCTCTGGGAATTGCCTTCATAGGCAACTTTGTAGGTAAGGAGTGAGCCTTGACAGAGGGGTTCTGGGCACCAAATATTAGGAGGAACTCATAGGAAGCACAAGGCAAAAGGCAGCTCTGGGGTGCTGCCACTGCTGGTGGAACACTTTAGTTTTAAAGTAGACTGTCAATACAGGATGACCGTCACTAGAAGCCCCCTCAGGCAAAACATTTATCCCTAATTCACCATTTGCAATCCCAACCATATCTAAGGCAAGTATGGGGCAAAACAGAAAAAAATCTTCTGACACCTTCAATGTTTTATGAGTCAGCTGGCAAAGGCATACGCTTCGGTGGCAATGACCTGGGGCACGCTCTGCCCGCTGTGGCACAGTGGTGGATGATTCGGTGGGAGGGGGGTGTCCTGCACCTGCTGAGAGCTGGTGTGATCTGCTGGGGTTTCATTCCAGAGCTGTTTTTGACTTTCAGGAAGAAACTTTGAACAGGAGGAATAGAGAAAGACAGTAGCCTTGTCTTCCTTTTGTCCCTGATTGCCACAGGGACAGATTTCATGTAAATCTGTTGGCTGGGGTGCTGGCAGTATGGAGGGGGTGAGGGAGGTGGGAGATGAAATCGAGGTGCTTGTCCCTGCCCTAAACAAATAACTGTGACCTTAATGATTGACAGTAAATATGTTTTGCAGAAAAGCCTCCAAATGCAGCTGCACTGAAGGCAGCCCAGGACTTGATCCAGTGTGCTGTGCTCAAGGGGTACCTGGCCCCCGACTACCTGCTGCTGGGCCATAGTGATGTGGCTGACACTCTGTCCCCTGGACGGGCTTTGTACAGCATCATCAAGACGTGGCCTCACTTCAAGCACTGAGGGCAGCCTCCCTCTCCTCCCTCTGCAACTTCTCTTCTTCCTACTGGAAGAAGTCCTAGCCTCTCACTTTACCTCAACACTTTCGTCCCCCTCCTCTGCCAACCCCACCTGGTTCCCTTTTTCCAGGCTAGGATGAGAATGTTCCTTTCTGTTAATATCCTCCAGCATCCCAAAGTCCCCAAAGCTGGACATCCACAGCCTCTTTTCTCTTCACTTTTCAGTTCCCTGAGCACCTAGCTGCTCATCACGTGAGATGACAGGCTGGTTCTTGTCATGCTTAGCTTTCCCTATAGTCTGATTTTAACCTCATGTCCCTTCCACTGTGATTGGCTGCCAATCCCCAGCCCTGGCCCCTCACCCAGACCGTGTTGCCCACCCCTGTTCTCTGCTCACACAATGACTTGTACAGATTTGCATGCTGCTCTTATTTAAAGCCTGTAATTGTCTATTCGCTCTCCCGGATTGTAAGATTCTCCAAGCAGTAGCTGATTTTTATTTATCTCCATGTCCTCAGTTCCTGAGCAGTGGAATTTAATAAGTTTTCTGAGATGTTTGTTGAAAAAATGGATGAATAAATGAATGAATTAGCCCCCGGCTCCTACTTACTCAGCCAGTTCACTCCATCCTCTCCTCTTTGGGAAGTTCTTCAGGACAGGGCTCCATTCCACCTGCATCTCTGTCCTATTCCCTCACAACCCGAGGCTCGGAGCTGGTTCTGGCAGCTTTTCTGTCATGGGTGCTGTGTCTGCAGGCTCCTATGTCCCTGACCCCCTAGAGTGTCCTGAGGTGGGTACTGTGTGCACCATTCATGAGGACCAGGTCAGGGCAGGGTTCTCACAAGTTGCCCAGTACCTGCTGCCTACCTGTGCCTGGCCAGGCTGCACTGGGCACTGGGTAGTGCCAGGACCCAGCACCTTGGTGCCTAGGATCCTCTTGCCCAGAGGACAGGCCCATCTTTTTAAATAGGGGTCAAATAGCACTGCTGTTCAATTGAGGCAAAGAAGCAGGTTTCTGTTTTCACTGAGCTTGAGCTGAGAAAAAGGTAAGGAGAGAAGGAGCCAGAAACATGGGCTCCCCCCATCTCAGATATTTCTTTACTTTCTTATTTATACTGTGTTTCTGCTGTGACAGTGTTTACCATCTCATACAGGTTAGACTTTCAGAACCTCACGCTCTTTGTGTTTCACCAGGCTCCCTGTCTCGCTGGACTGCCTCTCCCCACTTATTTTCCCTAAGGCATCCTGAGAGACAAAGGAGGGAAGGGTTGTTTTTTCTATGGGGTCAAACTGGCCTAGACACTTCTTCCTGATTTACACATCCAGCGGAACACTGTTCCAGAGCACTCCGGGGTAGGAGGTCTTTATAAGGGACAGTTGGTCCACATAGCTCTTCCTGTGGAGTAGGGGCTGGGCACACATCCCGAGGAGAGCTCCTTAGCAAGATGAACTTAATGGCCCCTCCTACAAGAGGTAGTCAAAGGGATCGGTGTGAGGTGCTCAGAAATGGTCTCATGAAAAAGCTGTCTGGTATGGCATTGAGAAGCAGGGCTTTTAAAAGAGGATTAATGCATTAATGTCGCTATGGTGAGGGTGGATTTGTTGTAACAGTCAGTCCAGCCCTTTCCTGCATTCCCTCACTCCCTCCCACTCCTGCGCATGCGTGCTTGCACACCCTTCATTGGTCTTCCATATTCTGCTTTGGGGCGACACAACAAGAGAAGCCTTCGCCAATGTGGGCTTCTCTGCCTCGCATTTCTCAGTCTCTAAACCAAAGAAATAAATTTAACCTGTATAACTTAGTCTGAGCTATTCTTTTCAAGCAGGACGAAAGACACTGAGACAATAGCTTTTGATAACTTGGGATTCCTTTCAATCTTCCAGAAGAGAAGATTTCTTTCCTTCACTTACACACCATTTCTAGGCCTCAGGGACTCATTGCCCTACTCTAACGCAGATCCTGGAGTAAGTATGCTTTGGAAAGGCTCTAGACTGCCTAGCTCCACCCACACACATGGAGGCCTCCTCACAACCACGGGATCCTAAAATTCTCAACCCTCTAGTGGCTTCCCCATCAGTGGTGAGATCTGGGAGAAGACATGTTCTCCAGCACCAGTGTGCCCCACCACCCCTAGACCTTTGTGATCTTCTCCCTGCGGTGGTTGCAGCCCTTGAAAGCACATGGCTGAGTGTCCCACTGCTGTGCTATCCCAGTGGCCCACATGGGAACATTTCCTCTGAAGCTCAGTTCTTCCTCTGCCTCTGCCAAGAGCCACCCCACCCACCCTTGGCTTCCTACCCCTCTCCTCCTGCTCCCCCAGCCCAAGAAGCCCTAGGCAGGGTGCAGAGGTTATCGGCAGGAGCAGAATGAGTAGGGATGTCCTGGGCCACCCCATGGGGCAACAGGTCTGCATGGCCACAGCTGCACTTTTCCTGCTGCTCTTTCATTCTAGTGTGTTTTAGAGAAAGACCAAAGGAGGCAAACAGAGCATAAAAACTGACAGAAAATAAGGAAGCAGCCCATAGAGAAAGAAAGACCCAGGTCTCCTGCACTGTGTGAGTGAGAAGATTTCTAGAGATCATTGACAGGATGGTTCAATCCCCAGTGAACACACACACACACACACACACACACACACACCCCACAATCACCACCACCACCACCAGCAACAACTCTGCAATTTTGCCTAATCTGTATTACTTCTTTCTTGAAGACACTTTTATTAATCTTAAATATACAGTCTAAGTAAAATCAGAGCTCTCAGCTAGCAGATGTGTTTAAAGGAGCCCATTGCATGTAGTTTGTCTCTGGGTCCTTTTTTATTTTATTTCATTTATTTTAATGTATTTGGTACAGAGTCTCACTACACAGATTGGACTAATAGTGATGCTCCTGTTTCCAGCCTCCCCAGCTCTGGGATTTACAGGCGTGTACCACCACGCCTGAACTGTGTGGCTGACTCAGCTTGCCTGGGGGAGGGCCAATATGGCATGTAGTATGGGGGATTGAACCCTGGTCCCTGTGCTTGCCTAAGCAAGTGCTTAGTCCACTGAGCTATCTCGTCGGCCCTACTTCTGGGTCCTTTGATAGTGAAATTCTTCCTAGCTGCCCTCTACTCATTTACAGTGGGATTATGCTAAGACCACCTGAGAAGAATGTTGTGAGGATTCTATGAATGAATACATGCAAGCATCTTAGAATTCATGCCTAGCATACAGCCTTCATCTCACTGAAGTTAGCTGACATGTCCTAAGTAATACCACCAGCAGTGCAGTGGTTGTTGCTCTCTTATTCCTGTTTGGCTCTGGCAGGAACCACGTATGTACCTTTGTGTGAACCAAACAGGGATGCCTGGGGAGTTTGATGCAGGCTGAGCTCAAGGCTTGGGAGGAGCAGGAGGAACCTGACACAGGTGTGCAGATCAGAGGCAGCCATGGAGAAAGGGAGGTCAGATCTCTGGGCACTGGGAACACCGGGGTGAGAGGATGCCCTTACCTTGCATTTTACGATTATAAGCTGGGAGAAAAAGACTCCAAAGTTTTCTTTGTTTCTAGAGTAGTGTGTACTAAGCAGGGTAAAGCCCCTTGTCATACAGAAGACTGAGCCCAAGGGAGCAGATTACACAGTGAGTTAAGAAGGCAGGAGGGGTTCTGACTGATGCTCCTGTCAGCCGGCTGGTGGAAATCAAGCAACACTCTCCTCTTCAACACAGAGGACTAAAATGCCTCATGATGCCACCCAGAGCTTCTCCTGTCTATTTTCCAAAGAAGGAGCCATCATGGGCTCTCTATCTGGATGTCGTCACCACATCCCATTTTTTTAAACAAAAAAGTCCAGGAGGCAAAGAACTGCAAGAGAAGCAGAGGCAGGGGACAAGCTGAGCCTCGGAGGAAATGTTGCCATGTGGGCCACTGGGAGAGCACAGCAGTGAGGAACTCAGTCATGCGCTTCTGAGGACTGCAGCCACCACAGTGAGAAGATCACCAAGGCCTGGGGGGTGGGGGGCGGGCGGGGCACACTGGTGCCCACTCTCTCTTTTACTCAGGCTATGTGGCTCTACCCCTAAGTCCTCATTTTCTGTCAGTTTTTGTTCTCTGTGTGCCTCCTTTGTTCTTTCTCTAAAACACACAAGAGTGAAAGAGCAGTGGAAAAAGAGCAGCGGTGGCCATGCAGACCTGTAGCCCATGGGGCGGCCCAGGACATCCCCACTCATTCTGCTCCTGCCGATCACCTCTGCACCCTGCCTGGGCCTTCTTGGGCTGGGGAAGCAGGAGGATGGAAGCAGGAGGATAGAGGCAAGAGGCCAAGTGCTTATAGGGTGGCTCTTGGCAGGTATTTGGTTTCCAGAAACTTACAGCCAGGAAGAGAAAGTGCAATTCTGGCCCAACAGGTTCTGCTAAGCAGTGGCCTTCAATAGAGCTGAGTTCTGAAGGGAAGGGGTTATTAAGTGGGAGGAGTGGTGGGTAGATTTGGTGCTGCTGAGAGGTGTGGCTGGGGCCTTTTAGGGGACTTTCCATGGTAGGCTCCCTTTTGTGAGCCTTTTTGTAGGCTCCTTTTTGAAACAGCTGCAAGGCCTCCAAGAATGCTACAGTTGATATGTAGCATTGGAGGGTAGCTGGGGAATTTCTTACTTGCCTGCAGTTTCCAATACAGATCACTTCATCTAAGCCTCTGCTTCTTAAGGCGCCTGAATTAGGATTCTCCCATGCTGTTCTTCTTTGGCGCCATGTTCATCTGCAGTCACTTATTTATTTTTCTCTCTGTGTGTGCCTTGCACAAGTCTTAGCATCTGGCTTTCCTACTAAACTATGTGCAGCTGGGAACCAAACTTGCCTCTCTCATGCTTTCTTGATGCTGGTGAACTTTTCAGACTTGCTGCATCTCCAGGTCTGGGAGATTCTCTGTTGGTATGTGAACAGCTAGAAGACAGTTGATGAGGACAACAGAACAGAGTTCCAGCTCAGCCTTCGCGCACACTCTGTGTGTGCCCGTAAGGGTTGCCTAGGAGCCAGTGGCAAGAGGCCAGGTCTGTTCTCACTCAGCTCCCCACTGGGTGATAGTAGAAATAGACCCAGTAGGCAAAGAGAAAAGAAGTGGTTGGAAACTGAATTGGGGCCAAAGGAAGGTGCAGAAGACTGTGGAGATCTGCATACAGAGTGACTGAGAGGGCTAAGAGCTGGCAACATTGGTTCCCCTTCTGCGTGCAAACTTTGTGCTAGGTACATGTGATAGGTGAGTTCATTTAATCTCCAAAACAGATTTATGGCATAAGAACTGCCATTCCTGCTTGATAGCTGAAGGGCTTGGGGGCATTAAGTCATTCCCTTAGGGGCACACATAGAGTGTGTGCCAAGGCTGAGCTGGAACCCTGGTCTGCTGTCCTCATCGGCTGTCTTCCAGCTGTTCACATGCCTTTCACAAGTGTGAAGGGTAGCGGGCCAAATGCCCAAAGTCCTTTGTAACAGAGTTCACTGGAGCAATGACTTCCATGGATCCAATAATATTCTTCAATTAATAAGGTGATGCAAGTGAAATCCCTATGGAAATAGTATAGTTCTGGGTTCATTTCATAGTAACAACAATAGC